CCAGTCAAACTACAAATTCCCAGTCAAACTACAAATTCCCAGTCAAACTACAAGTTTTCTCTTCAAGCCAATTAGAAATAACTCCCAAATGTACATAGTTTGAAATGTGCTCTTTTTATTGATTATAAACATGTACTTAAGAAAAGTAAACATAAGTAGACAAGAGGTTCAAAAGAATGGAGTACTGGGCTGGGCTACCATGGTAGGTTTGCAAAATAATTGATATTTCAGCAAATCAAAATGGTGGGAGGCTCTTATTTTATATTATAGCTTATAAGTGCCTGAAATTTGAGTTTCTAATTCGTTAACACTATAGATGTTGTATGGTAGACATAATAAATTATAAACTGAGCAATAAGACAAGACATGCCGTATGACGTAAAAAAAGCATATTTAGCTTTATTTTTTAATATTTTCTTTTGAACTAAAAAATTAAAACCTATATAATTTCTAAAATTTGAATTATAACCTATGTTGTGATGCCAATTTTACTAACATAAGACGATAATAAAGTTGTTTAATTAAATTTGAAAATAACTCTTCTGAAATGTTGTGACATGTGCCCTTTGACCCGTCCATAGTGAGAGGGTTAACTTGACTTCTGATCAATTCCTTAAAAAAACAAAAAAATTTACACTAACTTTGTAAGTGCTCGGAAGTTGCCCATATAGTAACTATGACACATATGTAAACATTGAAAAATAAGATACACTGTTAATATAATTTGAATTTTGTCAATGAAACAAACAGGCATCATAAAGTACTGACACTATTGGGATAAATCATTTTCTAAAATATACTGTTTTTCAAAGCTAAAGAACATGGTCTCTTACCTGCATATTGTGACAACTGTGTTTTATTAAAGAATTCTTAGATAATATTCTGCATAGCTTCTGGTAAATTAACATTCATTTTTATTGAAGTGCATGATATCAATCTTTTTTATCATCTAAGATTATATACATACATACATACATACATATAAGTTAAGGACAACAAGAGACCTGTTGGTCTATCTAGGCAATCCCACAGACTAAGCTAATCCCCATATGCAGCAAAACATCAAAACTAATTCAGCAATGATCACTTGCACCAAGATGTTCTCTAATTTCCACACTACAGATCATTTCTATATAAAATAATCCAATTTTATCTACCTCTTTACACCACAGACTGTCTTATCAATATACAGTACTAAATTATCACCTATAACTATAACGTCTTGATGTTTTCATTCCAATTCCTATCTGTCTCTTTTGTTTTCCTTTTCTTACTTACGTACTTACACGGCAGGGGTTCAGTTTGAAGAGAGAGAAGACAAGAGACTTCTCTCCCCAACTGGGGTGCTCAGGAACACTTTGTTCCTTTTTCCTTTTAATTTCTGTAATAATTCTTTATACTTATGCATTTATTTATATTTGAGAATTTCATTTAATATTTTTATGCATTTTTAAATAACACTTTATCTTTGTACTCTAATATATCCTTTACTTCTATTTATATTACAATGCATAAGGCTATCATGGTAGGCCCTTTTATGTTCTGCATCACATATACATTACTGTTATTGTTTAAATATTATTCTAATGTACTTTAATTAGCAACTGTTTGAATATCACCTGATGAAAGGTTTAAGCTAGAAACATTAAATAACTCACCTACATTAATATTTTTCTAGTGTTACAATTTTTTACAATTTATAACAATTTTGTGTGTGGCTTCTTCTCTTTAGTTTAAACTAAATAGAAGTAGCCTATTGACAACACAATTAAGCCTAATGTTATAGTTGAATATATTACACTTATCTTCTCACTAAAGTAAGTTTATCTTTAAAATAAGAAGTCACAAATAACTAATCTTTCTATAAAACTTATGTAGTAATACAATATAGTTAGCCTGTTTTGTAAACTACCAATAACCTAAATTGTTGTTAAAGTTGCATTACACTTGCTAAGCCTAATATAACTTTTGTAGTAATATTTGCACCACCCAGACTCAAGTTAACACTTTAATCCTAATAGTATTATTTATCATTCTTATCAAATCAACTTCTTTTCAATAATCAGCACAAATTACAACAAATAAGAATATTAATCACATCATTAAACAGATTTAAGTATAATATTCCAAAAACTTCATGAGTTAAGTTTTTTTAAGTATACGACTCCTTACCTCTACCCCACAAATGCCTCTGTGGTACAAGTAGCCTCCGATAGTAGTAAAATGTTTTCGACAACTAGGCATCTGACATGTCAACTTTTTAGCCCTCCGAAGAGCGATTCGAAGAGCCAATGCTTCTTCTTTTTCTGACATTGGTGTATTATCATTAACTTTAGCCTGCAGTAAATAAATATCAATAAAATACATAACCTCATACACTGTTGCCAAGGTTTCAGTTTATAATTTAAAATATAAGTTAATAAATTTATAAGCCTAAAACGTCATGAAATGATCATAAATTATTTAGACATTACTGCAACAAGAATAAAAAGATTCATCTTATTGTGTATTTACATTAAAAAAAAATTTTTCACATGTCAAAATTGCTATTTAGAAAATTATCAAGTTTCACCAAATATTATAAATTTCAGCTAATGATTTTGTTTTGTACGAATCATAACCATGACCCACACATCCAATTAGCTACTATTTACCAACTCAAATTTTCAAAGGCAGATAAAAATAATTTTTGATCAAAGTTTTCAACACTACTAAATGTTTAAAATTAGTTTAAACTAATTTCTTTAAGTGATGAGCTATAAGCAAGATAATTTTATACTAATAATAATGAACAGAACCCTGACCTAACATTTACAATAGCAGATATAAATAAAAATTGATCTAACACATCATTTAGTTTATGATACACGTACTTGTATAAGCTATGACAAACTGTGGGCATTTCTTTGAGGAATCTTAACCTTTCAACACAGTTAATGACTATGATCTATAAGTTGGCTAAGTTTGGCAAATAACTAGCATGATCTCTGCTTGACCATTACCTTTCATTGATTTTAAAATTCAGATAAAAATAACTTAAAAAATAAATATGCAAGTTTAATACTTCTGGTAGTATATTCCTTCAAAAGGGGAACTAAATGTTGATCATCTCTATTTGAGAAACAAAATCAAATATTTAATACATTTTTTAACCTTCTTGTAATTAACTAAATAATTTAAGATTCACAAGTTGTACATATTTAGTAAAGAATTAAGCAAAAAAAGAAAAAAAATACATAGTAGCCTTTATCTTTTACATTTTCTTGTACATATTTTACTTAATTTCAAATGTATCTTCCGTGTGAGGAGTTAAAACTTATTTTGTATATAACACTGGCTGTCATGAGAAGCATGAAAACTTGTTTTTTTAATTACCATTTTTTGCAACATATAATAATCTGAAAACATATCTGTGCTCTGCCCACCACGAGTATCAAAACCTGGTTTATAGCGTTGTAAGTCCGTAGACATACCGCTGTGTCACTGGGGGACAACATACATTTAAATAAGAATAATATAACAAATGTCTAAACCTAGAAGTATTATATACTATTTTATGATACACAAATCAAATCAGACATAATCCATGGTACTTACAAGTCCATTGTGACTGTTATTAATATGGAGAAGAACAAGTTGTTTTGTTAGATATTTGGCTCCACAGCTTCCACAAAAAAAATCCTAACAAATAAAGTTTTTTTAAAACTATACTTTCAGATATTTACATTCAAAATTAACTTACTGATCAAAAAAAGGCTTATTAAATTAAAGTGTAAGGAGAATAATAACAAAAAGCATCTTATTCTAAAAAGTGAAAAGTTTAGACGGTGAATGCCATGCCATTGCAACTTCTAATATACAGTTCAAGCCCATAGAGTTCTCAGACATTCCCTTAAACATCGGACATCATCCTACTTGTTATCATCGAATCTCTGAAAAAAACATGATTCAAATTTAATGTAAAAAGGTTTGCCAAATGTTCACAGAAGTGCTTGTTTGGTGTAGAGGAGGGTGAACATCAGGAACAACATGCATAAACATTACCATCTCTAAAGGAGAAAACTGCAGTCTCGAGGTGTGTCCTTCTGGGTCAGTCCCTATCTCCAGATGTTTGTATCGTTTTTAAAAAAGCAAATCAGTTCAGTACAATGCAAATTAAGACTGCAAGGTATGTAGTGGCCCAAGCCCAGACTCTAATGCAGATGAGTCAATTTTGGAACTTTTGGAACTATTATTATTTGTGAATACCTTGTCATAATATATTACAAAGTCAGCCTGGCTAAAAAAGCATACACTTTAAAATTTGGAATGGTATAAATGACAGTGGTGTATTGAAATTTAAGTGATAAAACTGCCACAAGTGACTTCATGTTAACTATGGTTGGGCAATTAATAGTATTTGCTAAACAATTAGTCAATCGCCCCATTAAATGATCACTACACGGTGAACCAGAAACCACGGTACATACAAGCACAAAAAAAGTTGGTGGCAGGAGCTGCCACATAGTTGTCTTCTCTCCAGTCAACACTTAAAAAAAAAAGATTGGTAGTGGGTGCTAACAGTAATAAAAACAATTAGTAATTTCAATCACTTGATTTATTCTTAAATTTGATTAACCAATTAGTTTATGTGACACTAATTGATTAAATTGACCAGCTCTAATACTATCACAACATTCACTTTCCTATGGTATACACATTGTGTCTGTATTATTATGTAGCATCATTGAGTTTGATTATTTTAAGTTTAAGCTTTAAAATGATTAATACATTTACAAATGAATTGTTTAGTTTAAAGATAGCCAACTGAGGTTTAAGTCTCTCTCTTTCTTTTTAAGGTTTGCTTTTATTGGAATGAAAATATTAAATATATATATATACATTGCAAGCCTGGGACAGAAATAGCTGAAATATTATCATTTATCTTCATATATGTTACTGCTAGCAAACAGTTGTTAAAGGTTAAGTATTATCCTGAAGTTAAAGCAGTAAACCCTTGACCTCATTTGCTTTTCCTCAATTACCAACTATCCACACTGTTGTTTAGAGTAGTTTTTTTGTGTTTGAACTATATACTCATATCAAAATATTTTCTAATAATGTTTATTCTTTAAACAAATATTTACACTATTTTATTCGTAAATAAAATACCAAAACTATATTTGTTCTGGGCCAGATTAAATATTGTTTGTTAACCTATATTTACATGTCAGTGATACTTCTTAGGATGTTGAGCACTAATCCACCTTACCAAGTGGCAGTTAAAAATCTGATGAATTGACCGAGTAAAAGCACAGGGTATAAATAAAATTTGCCCCAACTGGCTCCCAAGACAGTTTTCAGTGGCACCCTCTTCAGTCTGCAGAAAGTGATAGGTACCAAATTTTATTCACACAATATTTGTGATATAGTTTCATGTTTAGACCAAATAGATTTAAAACTAACCAAGTTATACAAGTCTAAAGTATAGCAAAATGTTTAGTTTTAAAAAATTACACTTTTCATATTTCCATAAAATTGGGATTAGTAAGTCCTATGACTTAAAAATTACATTTGTAGTCAGCACGTGTGCCTATCATTCCACCAAATTTGTGCCCTGAACACTCAATACTTTTTGAGATAGCGAAGACCAAACATGGGATGAAGTGTCACAACAACACTTTTCACCCGACCATGCATACACTGACCTAACTTGCCAAAAAAAAACTGGGGAAAATCTCAAGTAGAGCTTTTGACACAAGCTCAGACATGTTACTGACTACCCAAAACTATATAAAAAACTTAGATCCCCACCCCGATGGTTGGAATGAAACTCATTTTCTAACCTCACATAATGGTCTGATGAAGAAAGTTAAAAAAAGTTTTTCACTGAAAATAACCAAAGTACTTGCAGTTCATTGTATCTAAAGTAAAAATTTCCAAAATAATCCATATTGAAATCAGTCTACAAAACCAACATAGGAGTCATATTTATAGGTTTATCCCAAAGCAAACAGATGAATGTAAAACCACTGTCAAAAAAGCTGTATAAACTGTGTATGGCACATGACAAGTTGAAGTATGTCAGGACACTGGATGAAGCATATGTCTATTTATGTGTCCACAGAAGTTTATTTGGGCAATTTGTTATCATTCTGCTTGTGACAATGATATAAGATAGCTGTAGGTTACTGCTATAATGATAAGTTACACATTCTGAGAGTGATAAAAAAAATGCCACTGTGAATGCTGCATAATATAAGGCTGGTAAGCTGCCTACAATGCAGCCACATGTTAAAGTTAACATTCCAGTTCTTTCCTAAGGTGCAACTATAAATTAGAATTTGCACTATCCTACTTGCATACATCTCCCATGGACTTTTGTGCCTTTGGTTTAAATGGATAGGTCTTTGAAAGTTGTTGTCCACATGCAATTAATTATTTTTTAAAGTATGTAAAGAGGAGTGGACCAACAATGACTTCATTGTACTACACAAAAGTTTCCTCCAGTGTAAATTGTGCTTTAGATCAATAATCAATTATCATAAGATGGGATCAGCAAATGAAACTTTTGGAGATGCAAGGGCCATACAGAATCTAGAGAGAGAACTATATATTCTGGAGCATTATAGGCTGTTTCGGGGCAAGACATCTTGACATTATTTACTTCTAAGATGAACAGTAAACATCAGATTTTTCCCACTTTATCTTATGTTCCAGTGAATGAAACTACAAACCAGTTGAGTACAACCTAGTCATTTTATGAAATACTGAGACAATACTTGTACAAACAAGTTTCCATTAAGGGAAATTACTGACAAACCATATACAAACATGCAATAGGTTCTACCAGAAGACCTACTAAAAATTATATAATATTAGTTACAATTAATAATAAATAGTCATAATTACAAGTAGCACACAAACTACCAGAAGCTACTATGACCAATCTGCCCTAAGTATTTTAGATATCTTCACTGCCAGCAGTGTTTTCATCTCTTAACCCAGTAACACCTAACAAGGTTGGGCTTGTTTAATGATATTAACAAGCACCAAAGCAGAACTGTCCCATGTTTACCACATTTGGCCAATGCAGTTATTACTATTTAAGAAATTAAAGGTTATATATTAAATCTTGCTAAATACTATATATAACTATAATATTGATAGAATTATTTAAATTTAATACTGTAAATTACAACAGATTAGAGAAAGTTGCATTTTAACTTAATATGCAGCAAATCACAACTACATGTACATTGGATAAAAGCACAGCCTATGTGATTATATAGCCACTATTGTATTTAGCCTAGCTCTACCAATCTCAATCCACCATAATGTTTGAGGGCGACCCTGTTAAAGAAAGTCTGCCAAAAGCTAAACCTGAAGTATGTGTATGTATATATATGGGGGTGGGGGTATAAAGAGAACAAACCAAAGGCAATCAGTTCGTAAAAGTAGAAGGATAATATAATAAAAGTTATCAGCACATGTCTTTGTGAAAATGGGATTTCTCTGGGCACTCCAGTTCCCCACCACAACAAAATTATCCCAGGCATTGGACTAAACAGCCCCCCCCCCCCACATACACACCAAAAAAAGGGCCTCCAATCCAATTCCTTTCTATAAAATCCAATAAATAAGTTTCTTTAAAAATGAAATTAATCCTAAATACAAAATGTTCGAAACTAATATGAGAATAATTCCACTGTCTTATCATACACAATACGATTTAAATACTTCTTTAAAGAAAATTATTTACATCCTAGTTAAATTTGAAATATAAACACACAGTCAATGACCACACTATAGTAAATAACTGACCTAGCATAAGGTTCATAGAGTCGAATAACCTACTAGAAGTGAAAGGTTAGATGCTTAGGTTTGTGATGGAGTATACATGTCTGAGATGAAGAATGTGAATTTTATTTTGTAATGACCAGGATAATTATGCAATTCATACCGAGTCAAAACCACACCGCTGACTAATCATAACAAGTTAGAATTGAATAAAATTATATCTTTGAATGTTGGAATACTTAGGTTTGTATCAGATTATGTAAGGCAAGTATAAAGAAAGTTTTGCATTATCTGTACCTAATGTTTGAATTTATAAAATCAACTTTCATAATATCTTTAACGATGATTGTATGAAAAATGGTAAAAATTGTCAATCTTATTTACTTCATTTAAAAATAAGTTATTTATCACAACATTTCAAAAGTTATGTAATTCATTCAAAGAAAATATTCTCTCAAAGGCTTATGTGTTAGTATTCGAGCTCTCTCTCTCTCTCTCTCTCTATATATATATATATATATATATATATATATATATAATAATTACTTACTATTATTACTAGTTATATACTAATATAAGTGTTTCTAGTAGACAATAGTTAACTATTATTTCTTTGTATAAGTTGTTTC